AAAAAAAAAAAAAAAAAAAAAAAAAAGAAATTCTCGTTGAAAAGAGGGAAGAGCTAGGAGGGGAGAGGAGAGGAGATGCAATGTGGGAGGAAAGCTGCTCTTTTCAGCATGAAGGGTGTGGGTCAGTCTGAGAGCAGAGAGAAAGGTGCCGTCAAAGAAGGCACAGTTTTTCCTCTGGGACAGGAGGGGAGGGAAGGAGGCCAGAGGGGAAGGAGAGAGAAAGCGTGAAGACAATTGCATTTCCTGATGTGCTTGGGCGGGATTCCAGGAACTGGAGAGGTAGGTCAAGTGACAGACGGGACAGAAGCAAGGGTGTGTGTGTTTACGGCTGGAGGAGCCTGGGAAGGTCTGGAACAGGATGCGGGAGCATCGTCAGGTGAGGCTGCCCGGTGCAGATCGCGGTGGGAGCAGCCGAGTGCGGAGCCGAGGCCCGGGCTCCGTGGGCTCAGCACTGCTTGTACCCCGGCGTGGAAACCTAGGGCTTTCCGGCGGGGGGTGGGGGGGGGGGGGGGCGGGGGGGGGGTGTCCAGCGTGGGAGGAGGAGCTGAGCTGAAAACAAAGACTGTGGGCCCGGACGCCACAGAGGGCCCAGTGGAACCTGGCAGGGTTGGCAAGTTCCTTGAGGCCAGAAACTGCCTCTGATGCCTCATTACAGCTGCCGACTCTTGGCCCATAGGAGCTTCTCCATAAGTGTTTGGTTATAAATGAGTGAGCGGAGTATAAGGCAGTAGGCATGTCGTGATGCTTTATTACTATTATTATCTGTCAGCTACACAGACAGATTCAGGAAAGAGAGGGCACTCAGGCGGTCGGAGCAGTTCAGAGAATCCCATGCAGACTTCCTATTGGTTTACTTCCCCCATCAGTGATGTTGGTCCTTCTGTCTTTTCTTTTGTGACTTTATTAGTTATTTCATCCCTCCTCTTTGCACCCGGCACTGTCTTGCACAGAGCAGACATTCGATGCCTGTTTACCGAATTGAACGCAAACCAAGCCGCAACGGATACATTGCTGTTGTTGTTTATCTATCAGAGTACAAAACCAGCCGAACATAGGAATTGCTGCGTCTGCTTCCTGACACCGTCCATCCCTTGGCCTCATCATGAGAATGTCTTGCTAATTTTAGAGCTGCCTGAGCAGCCTCGGCACAGTCCCTTTTAGCCTCCATTCCTTCCAACTTCAGCCGGCCTTGAAATAAGCACCCCTCCCCCTTCCCCCACCCGGCCCCCCGCCCCCAGCGCTCCGCACTGACCCGCTAGCCTCTTCCCTGCCTGGCGTTTCCCGCCTTGCCCCCTCGCGGATGGAGCCCTAGCCCTCCCTGGACCCCTGCCCGGATGCTCAGGGTTGCCTTTCTAGATCTTGGCTACCTTCCACCAGGATCTGGTCTCTGATCAGCCGTGAGTAAATACTTCTCCCTGTTTAACTCAATCCTGGGCATCCGTGGCTGGCCCATCGCTACAGCTCCCGCATCTCAGCCAGCAAGAACTAGACCAGACCTGTTGGTAATCCTCAAACTTTTAAAATCTCTGATTCTGGAATTCGTGGTCTACTTTTGCACAATGGAGACCCTTTTAAGAGGTAGTTTAGGGACAGGAGACAGTCTGGGCGAAGCTACCAACCACACCAGGGAAGCCAGAACAGAAACACTGGCTTCTATGTTATACAAATATTTCAAAACTTCTCAGTAAATCTTTCTCTCTGAAGGACAAACAGTGTCATAACTTCCTTTCTTTCCTTAGTAGGAATCCTTGTTATTACAACTGAGAAAAGTCAGCACAGAAAGTACTTTATAGAGTCATTTATCAGGCTGGACTGAAAATCTGGACCCATCACTCCCGACTGGAACAGGTGATCCATGGGATGTCTTACATCAAATTCTACCTTATCTTATTAACTCCTGCAGTGTAGGTGGGACCTCATCACCTCTTGAAGCTGAATCTATTCAAATGAGTCCTGCTGCGTACGGTCAGAAGTTCTGGTGGTAAAAGTTTGACTGATTAAAGGCCATTTGGCACAAAAATAAGTACTTTGTCCGTGTAAATTTTGCACCGCTGGTGACTCTGTTGTTGCTTGTTGTAGGTCAGCAGGCGGGTTGAGCTGGTGCAGTGGCAGCATCACAAAGCTAGAAGATGGGGTTCAAACCCACCACTTTCTGACCATGTGAACGGTGATCCCCCACCTCAGCCCCCTGGGACGTGGGGATCAGGGCATCACAGTGTCTCCCACATGGGGATTTTACGAGGATTAAATGAGTTGCTTCATTTAGAAACTGCCCAAGAAAGCTCTGGCACCCAGTAGGTGAGTAGTGAGGGGCTTGCCTTCCCAGACCCCTTCTCTACTTCCTGCCTTGTTTGAATGTGATGAATATGAACATTTTATAAAAGCAGGAATGGCCTCTGCTCCCTCTGTAGTATGGAAATCATTTGAAGTGTATGGAATCAGGAATTCATTTTTGTGGAATTTTCTCACGTAGTTCGCCCAAGTGCCTAAACACTTCACTGACACTATTTTATTTTTGTATGAAATGTGTTAAGTGCTTCCTGGTTGGGGTGGCACTTTAGTGTACATGAAGTAATACGTCAGCCTGTGGGGCAGTCCAGGGTCAGACTATTGTCCCCATTTTACAGATGAGCAAACTAACACTCAGGGAGGTGAAGTGCTTGACTCAAGGTCATGTGACAAGTACGTCCGGGAAGTGGGAAACCCAGGTCTCTCCACACCCTGCCCCAGTTTCTTTCTCTCCCCAGCTGCACTGAGGTACTAGTCTCCCAAAGCCCAAGGGGCCCAAAGGTGGAAATACACCTTTGTTCGATGAGTTTGTGACTTGCTGCTAGAGTATTAGGGGAACAATGTCCTTGACTGGGACGGTGGGTAGAAATATCAGCTGCCCCAAACACCTAGGATTTCCTCTATTTTGCTCCCTTGGAAAAACTCAGCTTCCCAGGATCCTCCCGGAAAGTCTAGCACTATTTCTCCAGCACTCTCACTTGAGATGAGTGAAAGCTTTGCCTCAGAAAGAACAGAGGGACGGTGGGAGGGGATGAGACAGAAGATAAGCACCAGGGCAGGAGTCTTGTTCTTGAGGAGGTTTTCATGATTTCGTGGAGACAGATGGTAGCTGTCTATAAAATATGCTTGCAAGTCCTGCTTCCTTCCTCATTTTGGTTTGTTGTGACAACTGGAGTTAAGTTTTAGGCAAATAAATATATAGGATCATATTTTTCACTGCAAGTATTGGAATAATCAAAGCAATGGGATGCCTCACAAATTTCTCCCTTCACTTTATACAAGAAAACGTCTTCCTGCGAAGTGAGTTTTACTCTGTTTTCCTGGGTTGTGATGGGGAGGCGGGGGGAGAGCATTATGATCCATTTCTCTGATGGTAACAGCTTCTAGTATCAAGTCACTAATCAGTTAGCCGGGATCAGTCGTTCAAGCAGGGGGGTCATCCTCATTCTTCTTCAACACCATGCTCTTGTGAATTCCGCCCGGAGCCTACTCACCGGCCACTGGTTCCTGGCCCCTCATTCAGGCTTGTCTCCCTCCACAGCCCCCCATCCCAAGAACCAGCCTCGTCCTGATGTCCCATCCTGAGCCTCATTTCCTCACTGTCCTCCAAGCAGAGTAATGGAACTCCTAGTGGAAAACTCTAATTCTTTTTGGAAAACACATTTTATTTTAACAAAGGCTAACCCCAGTGCTAAATCTTGGGTTCACAGTAGGGACCATGTTTTAGGGGAGCAGGGTCTTTCAGGATTCCAGACAGGCTGCCCCTGCAGAGCCAGCTGATTGATGGTAAAGGGTGGTAAGGATCCTGCCCAAATACTCTGACACGCAGATCATCTCACTTTGCCAGTTGTCAAGAGAGCATCTTTCCATGTGACTCAGACGAGCACCTCCAGGAAAAAACAGAAACAAAATCGCTGCACGACGTGAGTGGCTGACATTCAATGCAGCGGGAACTGAGTAGCCAAGGTCAGAAGGGAAACTTGGCACAAGATTAGGAGTAAGAAAGAGACCTGTGAGGACAGGTAACAAAAGGAGATGACGTGAAAACATGCAGAAATACACTTCACGGAAGGAAACGCTGGACAAGGAATGTCAGGTGCGATTAGGAGCGAGAAGGAAATAAAGCGAGATGCTTCCGAGTGGTTGCTCTGTGGTGTGATGAGCATAATCGACTTGATCAGACTCTCCAGGTTCCGATTTACAGAACGCAGGGAGAGATGCCCAGTAGTGACCTATTTAACGTTTACCTCTGAAAAGCCCTGTGCTTTTTTGTCTCATTTGAAATTCAGACTTGGTGGGTCCTTTCATTTTTGTGATGTCAGTTTGTTTCTTTACAGTATTTTGAGATGTTAAAAACTGACTTAGGAGACTATTGTCTCCTAAGAAATTAAAAATTACCTTTATGGTTGAAGGTGGAAGACATTAGCTGACTTAGCAATGCCCCTCTTGGACCTGAAGCAGGTTTAAAAATATTCTCTCTCTCTCTTTCTTTCTCTCTCGTGCCTTTTCCATGATTTCTCCTATTTGCACTGATTTATACACGTATTAAAAGTTTCCTATTTCTGGACTCCTAATGATCGAGATGACATTGTTTTCCTGCTATATAACATTTTAGTGGGTCAGGGCAGAAAACAACGTAAGGGAAAAACTAAATGTTT